ATCGTAGATGTATTCTTCAATATAAGAGGCGAACCTATTATTAGAATATAAAGATTTTATTAATTCATAATTAAAATTGACAGATTGATTAAAAATAAATAAAAAAATGAATTAACAAAATGGGTCATACGCCAGGCTATCGGCTTTATGTTTGTCTGTTAAATTTTCATCCGCATTTAAACCCTTAGAACGTAATGAAAATTCAAGATTTTAAAATTCAAAAATTAGGAAAAAACTATTAAGTAAAAGGATGCATACATTTTTCTTTAGATGGTTTATTATGTTATGAACACCTGTGATCCAATTCAGACCATCTTTTAATATAGGAAGTTCACCTACAATGTTCTCAAGGTTAATAAGATAGAATGCTTATGCTTTTTATAGGAAATGCGAGTATTACCTGTTGGCGAAACATTTGGGTTACTGCATTCAATGACTTTCCATTCGTCAGAAACAAGTTGTAAGTATGAAATGACTGATAAGCATGCAGGATCAATAGAGGGAAGTCCCCAACTGGAACCCCAGATATAAAGACACAGCATTCTTCTGACAAGTACAGCGATAGGAGAATGATAATCAATTTAAAGATGTCAATAACGTGACAAGTTTTTTTATTGGCTATCATTGCATGGGTCAAATTTGGATAGATTGGTTGCAAAAATAGATCAAATTTATTATGTAGTATTAACAAGATAATATTACGTACTCGTCCTTACTTTATCTTTAAACTAATACTAGTCCTAATTGCAATTAAATAACTACACACTTTAGATGACTTTATTGATTTTAATGTTATATTCACATCAATAAACCCTTATTGATAAACTCACTGTCAAAAGGTAATTACTAGTATATACCATAATATTAAAATTATAGACGAGTAAAAATTCAATAAACCATATTATTACTGCAATATAAACATTAAACCTTTGAAACTTGTTCTTCTAGTAAAAAGAAATTACGTAATAAACGGCGCACCCTAACTGGATGTTTTTTCAGTAACGATACTGATACTTACAATAGCAAATCGATTTATTTAATACATGCTGAGCCGGGGCTATTACAAAGATTTGTTCTAAATATAAAGTGCCAAGTTTTATTTTATATTGGATTACGAAAGATAACGCGAATAACTTGGATGATAGATTAGAGTCGATAATAAAATGAAAATCGCTTGTATAGTGAATCAAGAATTCATGTAATTCTTTGTATGTATTTGCGAAAATCACACGCATTTGATTGGTTATCTTTAATTATGAGCAGCCAATAAAATTTAAGGATCCCATCATGTTTATTTACGTGGTTAGACATTTTCAGACATCTTGATCTGTTGTTTTTTTTTATTAAAAATTTTTTTTCGCGACGTGTTTTTAATGATTTAAATTGTTTAAACTGATCTGACTTTCGTTTCACTTTTATTTATATTACATTTTTATTTGCGATAACCTTTTTTTTTTAAAAAAAAAAAAACAAATAAATAAATATTTCTGTTTGAAACAACGAAATAACGACGAAAAAACGACAAGACGTAGATAACTATTTTATTTGAAGTTAAAAGAAGATAATATATAGTTATTGCATACAGAGAAATAAACTTGTCGGTGAAATGGGCTATTGCTTGATTATGCGAAGCATTCGTAAATGTGAAAAATAATAGATTATATGTTTATTATGCGATCGCATAATCCTGAACACCCTAACGTCTTATACTGAAACTAAGCCGCAACAGTTTTTATCACATTTTTAATGAAAACATAAGGTTGTTATCACTCATTAAGGTTACTGATTTTATATGAGAAATTGGATACGTTCTTAATCGATATAACAATTCTTGGTTTTATACGTGAATGTAATATTAGCATTGGTATACTGTATGTTTAAAAATTTTAAGACAAATTGAACATGTTTTATATTTTTAATATTTTTTAAGTTAGTAAACATATATTTAATGTTAATACTATATGTTGTTTATTTATTGTGAAGGTGCCAGCTTTTCTGAAGTGTTTGGTAAAAGTAGTATTAGGCCATGTATATAACGACAGTATTAGTGTACTTTTAATCTAACTTATACGTATTTAACTTGTACTATTAGATAGGTAGTATGAATTTCATCAATTTAATTATATGGAGAAGTATCATGTCGATATGTGAGTATACTAAAATTTGAATGTCTTAATATTTTAATGCTAACATCAAACATTGTTTAGAAATGATTAACAGTAAAAATTCTGTGGAGAAGCCGCGGCGAAAAACACGTGATGAAAAGACGAAATAAAAGAAATTAGATTTGCCGATGATTTCTTCATTTGGTACAACAACCGAGTATTAACGAATAACCAAACCAAGTGACGACGGCATTTGAATGAATCGCTCAAGTATTAATTGCGTCGTCACGTTTACTAGTGTGACGACGGATATTGTGATACCGAAGATCGTGACCGATCACGTGAAAAATGCACGAAATGCAATAAATGCAATAA